ACTTGTGAAATAGATGAATGACTCCTGAGATGTTGATTGAGACAACGTTTAATAGACAAGATGAACATAGCTCCACAGAGACCATTTATTCCATGAACACTTAACACTGGCTAACAGATGGTGTTGACATTGAGACATATCGATCTGTGAGCCAGAGCAGTGGTTGCCCCTAGGCTGCTTTGGGGATTTAGAGGTTGGGGGAGTAAAATAAATGGGGTGTCTCTGAGAATTTGGCCCCGGGTAGGACGCTCAGCACTGGAGACTGACTGGTCTGTTTGCTTACTGGGTGTATCGACTTCAGACTGGGTTGGGCAGCGGGCCAGTCAAGGTCTCTGGTACTGACTGTCTGACTAGTTATTGACTGAATGAATGATGTGAAATCCTACACATTATAGTTCCTACAGAACAACATACACTAACCAGCCACTTTGATTGGTACAGCTGTGTGTAGCGGAAATCCACATTTCATATTCTCAGATTAACTTTAGTTGGATTCACACAAAGAAGGACACAACCATTGTCACACAAAGCTTTTCTTTCTCTCACACTTAGCAGCAAAAAGGGAAACTTGAAACTGGCCTGCGGTCGTTTAATCCAAGATCCTTTTCAGCACATCTGGTTAACTCCTACGATTCTCTCCCAGGGTCGTAAATTGCACCAGTTTGACTGGATTTTCTTTCTTTACCAATCTGAGAAGCAGGACAATATCAGAAACTGGTTTGTTTTACATCCACCCGTCCAGACTGACCCTTACATAAGATAAGGATGGTTGTAAAACTTATGAGGTTTCTATTCTGGAAGCTTTCAGACTTGAGTCTTTTGTAAAACCTTGTATTTCTGTTCTACAATCAAAGAAGGTGTTTTAGGTTGTTTACCATAAAAAAATGGAGGTGTTCAAAGTAAATGTTTAAACTCTTATTAGTTACAAACCTAAATGCTTGTTTGTGTTCCTCTTTCATGTTAAACATCTGCCATTTTTGTTTCTCCGGTTAAAATTCATGCTAACGGCAAAACTGTCCAGTTTTAAGACATGAATTTAGTCCTTTCCCGTTTAAAGTAATACTTTTGATGCTTCATCTGGATAACGTTGGTAAATTGTGATATGAACTTTTCACTGTTGGAAAGATTGAGTTATTTGAAAGAGCCATAGTGCCATCCAGCAGTTAATGAGTGAAATACATGTGGGCGGGACCAAGAAAGGTTATAAAAGCCAGAGTTCAAACCTCGTGATGGCAGAGCAAAGAACAAAGACGCCTTAAGCAAATCCTTGCTAGGCTTTTCCATCTCGCCTAGCAACGCCGTCGCTCTCAAGGTTCCCAAGTCATTAGCGCTCCCAAAAGTACAGTAGAACTCAGCGGCAACTCCGCTTGTTTTGTTTACCTTCCACGTAAAACTGGAAGTCAGTGTGGTTTTCACATTAAGAGTAAAACTAATTTGGAGTGGTTTTTCTGAATCAACTTTGTTTTGGATAATTTGGACCTGCGCTCTGAATTCCACGTTTCGGTGCAGTCAAAGTGAAGGTCAAGCCATTTCAGGGGAACACTTCTCCTAAACTCAACAGACTCCGTTGACCAACTCAGGGGCCAAAATCTACAGTCCCAGAAGCCTCTTCACATGAGCAAGGACTCCAAGGCTGCCTCAGCCCTTTGGCCACCCTCTGGCGACAAGGAGAAAGGTCTGTGCATCATTTCCTTTGGCTGAATTTTTATGCTAAGCCCGATTAGTGAATTCAGATTATAACATTTTATGGCGTTTTATTTCTTTCCAAATTCACGTTAGCTCTCAAGATTTACCCTCTTTTCTCTGCTGCCCCCAACTCTCAATTGCATACCCACACACACATGAACATACCCCCTCCTGCACCTATACTAACGCACACACACACGCACACACACTCTCACACACACACTCTCACACACACACACACACACACACACACACACACACACACACACATGAACATTTACTTGTCCCCCTTTAGAAATTATTCCCAATTCTACTATAATCTTGTGTGTCACCAAATTTCCACTTTCATTACAGATCAGTTATTTCATATCGCTGCCATAAAGCTTTGGATTTAACCATTTTCTTAATTCCATGCATGAAACTATAAATTATGTTGATCCATTTGTTAAATGTATTAACTGATGTTTGTAATAAACTCACGAAACGTAAATAAAGCCTGATCATTTCTAGCATCTCAAGAATAGTCGGCACATTCTGGCAAGAATTCATCCTTTAGATTAATTTGTGGTGTTAACTTTGAGACTGATTACATTGAGAAGATATAGATATTAAATCTAATGGTCCAATTCCATAAAACTGGTGGTGCCCCTATTAACTATTTTAAGATTATAAGCAACTAAACAAGCTAAATCTACACCACATTTAAAATATAGATATAAATCTATATTTATCGCTACATGTGCCATTGCTTGCCAGGAATCAGTCAACCACATAGGTGCATTTGGCATACCAGACAGGCAGTTCTAACCGTTTCAGAAACGGATCTAGTGGGATTTCAACCCACAACCATCTTCAGAGTTAAAAAAAATGTCTGCATCTGATGAGTGAATCACAGCTGCAACACTCAGCCGTCAGGTGTCACCAACATGTAAGCATGGATCCTGCTTTGCGCAGGTGACCCCTATAGCACCACCTGAGCCTACCTGAGTATTGTTGCTGACCACATCCATCCCCTAATGACCACATGGACCCATCTCCTGATGGCTACTTCCAGCAGGATAAAGCACCATGTCACAAAGCTCAGATCATCTCTAAGGGGTTTCTAGAACATGACCATGAGTTCACTGGACTCCAGCCACTTCCACAGTCACCAGATCGGAGTCCAGCCCAGAACCTTTGCGATGTGGGGGAACAGGAGATCTCCATCATGGATGAAGCTGATGCTGTCATGTCAGCATTGACCAGAAGCTCTGAGGAAGGTTTACAACAACTTGTTGAATCTGGGGTCCAACCTGGTTTTAGCACAATGTGCACTGATAAAGTGTCTCATGAGTGTCATTAGTGGTTTTATCCCACTGTTGGTATTTTTGGTTTTCCACAGTGAATCTCAGAATGAGCACTAAGAGCTGATGAGCTTCACAATGCCACTAACTGGCCTCTAGATGGTGCCAGAACACCATCATCTCCATGAACGAGGTCCTGAAACATCATACCAAACACATCTTTAGATATACAGGTGCTGGCCAGTAAATTAGAATATCATCAAAAGGTTGAAAATATTTCAGTAATTCCATTCAAAACGTGAAACTTGTACATTATATTCATGCAATGCACACAGACCAATGTATTTCCGATGTTTATTACGTTTAATTTTGATATTTATTGGTGACAACCAATGAAAACATCAAATCTGGTATCTCAGAAAATTAGAATATTCTAAAGGCCAATGAAAAAATGTTTGTTTCTCTAATGTTGGCCAACTGAAAAGAATGAACATGAAAAGAATGTGCATGTATAGCACTCAATACTTAGTCGGGGCTCCTTTTGCCTCAATAACTGCAGTAATGCGGCGTGGCATGGACTCGATCAGTCTGTGGCACTGCTCAGGTGTTATGAGAGCCCAGGTTGCTCTGATAGTCGTCTTCAGCTCCTCTGCATTGTTGGGTCTAGCGTATTGCATCCTCCGCTTCACAATACCCCATAGATTTTCTATGGGGTTAAGGTCAGGCGAGTTTGCTGGCCAATCAAGGACAGGGATACCATGGTCCTTGAACCAGGTGCTGGTGGTTTTGGCACTGTGTGCAGGTGCCAAGTCCTGTTGAAAGGTGAAGTCTGCATCCCCATAAAGTTGGTCAGCAGCAGGAAGCATGAAGTGCTCTAAAACTTCCTGGTAGACGGCTGCATTGACCCTGGACCTCAGGAAACAGAGTGGGCCAACACCGGCAGATGACATGGCACCCCACACCATCACTGACGGTGGAAACTTTACACTGGACCTCATGCAACGTGGATTCTGTGCTTCTCCGCTCTTCCTCCAGACTCTGGGTCCTTGATTTCCAAAGGAAATGCAGAACTTGCTTTCATCAGAAAACATAACTTTGGACCACTCAGCATCAGTCCAGTCCTTTTTGTCCTTGGCCCAGGCGAGACGCTTCTTGCGCTGTTTCTTGTTCAAGAGTGGCTTGACACACGGAATGCGACACCTGAATCCCATGTCTTTCATGAGTCTCCTCGTGGTGGTTCTTGAAGCGCTGACTCCAGCTGCAGTCCACTCTTTGTGGATCTCCCCCACATTTTTGAATGGGTTTGTCGTCACAATTCTCTGCAGGGTGCGGTTATCCCTAGAGCTTGTACACTTTTTTCTACCACATTTTTTCCGTCCCTTCGCCTGTCTGTTAATGTGCTTGGACACAGAGCTCTGCGAACAGCCAGCTTCTTTAGCAATCACCTTTTGTGTCTTGCCCTCCTTGTGCAAGGTGTCAATGATTGTCTTTTGGACAGCTGTTAAGTCAGAAGTCTTCCCCATGATTGTGGTGCCTTCAAAACAAGACTGAGGGACCTTTTAAAGGCCTTTGCAGGTGTTTTGAGTAAATCAGCTGATTAGAGTGGCAGCAGGTGTCTTCTATATTCAGCCTTTTCAGAATATTCTAATTTTTTGAGATACCAAATTTGGAGTTTTCATTAGTTGTCACTTATGAATATCTAATTTAAATGTAATGAACATTGGAAATACATTGGTCTGTGTGCATTGCATGAATATAATGTACAAGTTTCACGTTTTGAATGGAATTACTGAAATATTTTCAACCTTTTGATGATATTCTAATTTACTGGCCAGCACCTGTATAAGAGAAGCCATGCCACTGCAACATTTTCAATATTCATCTTCATCCTACAGTAATAATGAGAAACAACATACGGAAACTAATAGAAGGTGTTTCACAGGGAAATGCAGACAGCTTCTAATAAAAGTCAAATCTAACTTGCTTTTCATTCTTTTCATTAAAAGAAGCATCACATTAAAAAAGGAAAAATGTATTCTAAATCTTTATTTGGCAAAATGTTTGTATAGATTTTATCTGATACAGTGACAGGCATAAAGTAAATGTTTATTACAGTATAATCACAAGTACGTTTTCAGCAGGACCTTCCAAGGTTTTACTGCAATCAATTGTGCAATATTTCACGCTCTGCTAACTGATGCTCCCTGAACATTTACACATGCGAGGAAAGCTTCCAGAGTTTCTTTTTGTGGATTCAGAGTCTGAAACATCAAAGTTTACATGACTGCATGGCCATGCAGTCCTCTGGCCATCGATATGATTCAACAGCAAACTCATCATAGTCCGTGTTGTAAGAGATGGAGCGAATGTATGCTTCTTTATCGACTGGCTCTGGGTGAAGGGTGGCTAAGTTGTGCTCATAAGCGTACTCCATGATCTGCAATCACAGGCATTGGGAAGTTACAGTTGCTCTGTTGGCACAAATCTGAATGAATCTGGACCAAATCATAAGACACACTCTAAACTGGTTTCATGCTGAGCTCTCACCTTAACAGCTAGTTTAACAGAGACATCCCTGATGGAGCTGAGAGGAGGATAGAGTCTTCCCTCTGCCAGGTCTTTCTCCGTCACCAACAGAGCAAGAGCCTGTTCAACAGAAACCAAACGGTTCATATTTACATGGAAAAGTCAAATTAGAGACTTTGAAATTGTGAGTAAATTTATTGAAAATGGATTTTTGTACAGCACATTTATACATTCTTGCGTTTAAAACTTTGAATTAGAATTTATATCAATAATGAAAAAATATACAGGAAAGGCCCATTCTTGTCTTTTGGTCCTTTAACAGCAACAGTAAAGCACTCACTGGGGATGAGAGCTCTCAAGTGGGGAAAGGGCACAGGCATGGTTGGGGTTCAGTGTCTTTCCCAAGGAAAATTTAATACATGTGTGGGGGAGCTGGGATCAAACTCCTTCAACCAGCAGCTGCTCCTCAAGGTGGCAGGGAGACCAAAGACAAATCAAGGAAGTTATTGGTTTTCTAGCTGCAGCTTTCATTCGGGATGTTTAAGCATGCCAGATTATGAGAGGAAACCTCATCGCCTCACATTTACCAACAAGAGAAGTAAAACCAGCATAGCCTTGGAAATGAGCTCCTTCTGCAGCAGTTCCTACACAAGCACTGCCTTCACATTGATGTTAGATCAAATATGTTGGAGTGATTTGCATCAAGACTCACAGGTAATAAATAATAAGTTCAGGATGTCGAGGGACCGTCTTACACAGAACGGTGGACACTTTTATTTGATGTGTTAAGGCCAATCGGAGCTATGTCACACTCTGTATACACAAGAATGGGTTTAAAAACCAGACATTATAAAAGAGTACATTAACATTTGTTTAACTGTGCAGCACAGGCCTCTGCTTCTACTCTGTCCATGTATGACCTGCACTTGTCTCTGATGCCTTTCAGGACTCCAAAGCGCTCTACACTGTATCATTCATCCACACACGCACACGCACACACACACACACACACACACACACACACACACACACACACACACACACACACACACACCGACTGTGATGAGCTAGGATGTAGCCACAGCTGCCCTAGGGCATACTGATGGAGGCGAGGCTGCCAAGAGCAGGTGCCACGGGACCCTCCAACCACCACCAGCAGGCAAGGTGGGTTTAATGTCTTGCCCAAGGACACAACATCAGAATTCTCTGTCCAGAGCCGGGATCGACCTTGCAACCTTACGATTACTGGACAACCTGCCCAACCTGTTGAGCTACTGCTGCCCACCTCTGCTGCAGTCAAGAAGATAGCCTCAGTAATATGCTTCAGAGCACAGCCAGTGACACCCAGGCCCACACCAGGGAAGATGTAGGAGTTGTTGCCTTGTCCAGGGTAGAGCGTCCTGCCATCAGGCAGGGTGACTGGGTCAAATGGGCTGCCACTGGCAAAGATACCACGACCCTGTCTCACAAAAGAATTCAGTCAAGCACCTGAAAGTCACATTTTCATTACAGATGTGCAGAAACTAACTGAGAAACACTAACCTCTGTGAACGAGTAGCACTGCTCAGCTGTACATTCAGCTTTGCTGGTTGGGTTGCTGAGAGCAAAGATAATTGGCCGCTCATTAAGGGACGCCATGTCTCTTATGATCTGCTCAGAGAAGGCTCCAGCAACAGCTGCCACACCTAAGACACAAGACCATCACTGTCCAATGTCTTCTACATTACAGTACTTCCAGAAAAGCCCTTTTTACATTGTTTTGCTTTTCAAGAACTTAAAAGTTCTCAAATAAACATCAAGATTTGTGAATGAAGAAAATGTTCCTTTACCAATGATAGCTGTAGGCTTTAGTTCCTTGACTGCATCTTCCAGCTTTTTCATCTGAGAATGCTCATGAGCAAACCTCTCTTTTTCATGAGTCAGGTGGTCGCGCCCCTAAAGAATCAGAGAGGGCATCATGACTGAAGCTACAAACCAATGGTGTCAACTTTAAACATGAATGAGTTCAGAGTGGTGAGTTTGAAAGAGCCCACTGTCTCGGTTTGCAACAAACAAGAATCTTCTAAAGTGGTACTTTTGAACTTGGAGGGTGTTCCAGGCTAGTAAAGGAGCAGTTACTGGATACATTGCCATGGCAACACAAAGTTTTCCTCCTTTAAAACACACAGTTCTGAGCCTTTTTCTAATCAAAGTTGTTTATTGCTGAGCTGAATTTTTCAAAAGTGAAAAACATTTGCAGTTGTCTCTAGAATAAATAATAATAATCTCTTGTGAGTCTACTGCTGTGGGGAAAAGCAGCGTTGGCGCTCCCATTTCAGGGAGTTGAAGTGAGCCAGAAGAAAGGTTTTAGAGTCTTATTTCATCATACTTGGATACCTCACCTCTGATTGGCCAACAGCAACACAGCTCTACCTCAGACTCTGGTTGAACATAAGCCTGGAGGAGTGTGTGGGAGTTACTAATGCTAATGGTTAGCTTAAACTAGTCAAAACGTGCTATGATCTCTCCTGGAAACCAACAACAGCCCCATTGGTTTTCTATTGGGTAGAAAACCATGTGAAAGTCAGAGTGACTGATCAGATTTCAAAAATAATAAGTAAAAAATAATTTCTTGGTGAACTTGGTCTTTTATGTCCATACTGGTCTCAGCAAAACCTCCCTCTCACGCCTTCAAGCCATCCAAAATGCAGCAGCCAGACTCCTAACCAAATCCAGCAGACAAGTTCACATCACTCCAGTTTTACAGTCCCTCCACTGGCTCCCGGTAGAATATAGAATACAGTTTAAAGTTTTAGTCCTGACCTATAGAGCTCTTAACAACCAGGCTCCAAGCTACCTATCTGAGCTTTTATCCCCACACATCCCCTCTCGGAACCTTAGATCCACATCTGAAAACCTCCTGGCTGTTCCTCGAACCAGACTGAAAACCAAAGGGGACAGGGCCTTTCAGACTATTGCCCCCAGACTTTGGAACAGTCTACCTTCTAATCTCTGTCTCTCTAACACTGTAGAGATCTTTAAAAATCATCTAAAAACTCACCTTTTCATCCAGGCGTTCCCTCCCTAAATGTTTCAAAGAGATGGCTTTGTTCGGGTTCACACCTTCACTTTGTTTTTACTCATGATTTTATTTTCTACGTTTATCACTGCTGTTGTTTTTCTGATGTTTTTATTGGTTAGAGGTATTTGCCCTGATCTTTATCATGTTGTACAGCGCTTTGTGATTTATATCTGTGAAAGGTGCTATATAAATAAACTTTTACTTACTTACTTACTTACTTACTATTAAAAATAATTACAAAAAAGTTGAGATTTTTGTTTTCTTTGTGTCACAAAGAGTAAAACTAAAAGGCAAAAAGCTCACAGACAGAGTATAACATATAAAAATAGTAGAAACTGTTACTGTTGACAAGTTATGTTTAATCAAAATATGTGTGGCAAATTCTGTGTGTGTGTGTGTGTGTGTGTGTGTGTGTGTGTGTGTGTGTGTGTGTGTGTGCGTCCAGGTATAGAGCAATACCTTCACTATAAGTCCCTTTGAATCGACCATCCAGATTTTTTTCAGACTCTCCTCTTTACTGAGTCCTTCCTTCTCCATGGCCATGGTGATCAGCTCAGCTATCCCCATCGCAGCCTTGGAAGAAGACAGAGGAGTGGCTGAGTTATACCAACTCAGGGGTCATTGTTTTCAAATACATACATTATTTTAACACATCCTTTGTTGTCATGTTTGCAGAGAAGAATGATGCACTTTACCTCTCCTGCTCCTTGGAACAGAATGGTGTGGTTACACAGTTTGGTTTTGGTGATCCTTAGGGCAGCAAGGAGTCCAGCTACTGCTACTGCAGCTGTGCCTGAAATGATACACTTTAATCTGTAAATCAACTTTTTACTCATATCATTTCTAGTTTTCACCAGATGCATAAATGTTTATTCTAAATGCTCATTTTAAGAGACAATGTATAGTTTTTACCATTAACCTCTGGAAATATCCATCAAAACGTTAAATATTAGCGGCTTTGTAACATGTAACCATAAAAATTGGGAATAAAGTACAAGGAGCACCTGTCGATGACATCACACTAGATGACTGGCTGGACATACGACTTACAGAGGTTCTATTACCATGTTCAAAACACAAAGCAAGAAGTAAGAAACACAAATTTTATAACAAAACTGCCAAACATTTTTCTAAAACTTATATGAAAGAACAGAATTGAAAAAGAGATGGAAATATATTTTGTCCAAGGGGTATTGCCGTAGTATGATGACTTGATTGGCAGGTGCAAGACGCCAAGCAGATCCAGAAACTACAATCGGCATTGTATTGTCTTGATGGATTTACCTGAAAGACCATCAAATTCTGAGGAGTCACACTGAGATTGCATGCTTTCTGCTCCACAGGTAACAACATTTACTGTAATGTTTTTAAACTAGCGATTGTCACGGCGATATGGTGTAAAACTACCCTGAAATGTATGTACTGCCCCCTAGGGGCAGGAAACTACACACTGCCACTTTAAAATCCACTATGCTTCTTTATTTAGTTTTTGTTATCAACTACAATAACAAAGCTTTAGTTTTTTTTTGGGGGGGGGGGGGGGGGGGGGGGCACCAATTTTGCAGATAAACGCTGCTTCTGAAGCTTTATTGCTGTGACAACCTGAACATTTTTACACCTGCAGTGGTTGGTCTGTTATTCATCAAACCCTGGTCCACTTTCTGACTTGGTGCGGTTTGATTGTAGGTGTGCAGATGCATCAATGAACAGAAAAAGAACAGTACAGAGACTTGGATGTGCGGGTCTCCATAGGACTCAAAGTAAACCGCACAGTGGTTTGTTTTCAGTGTGAAGGTGATCCAACCTCAAACTGACACAGCAACCATCTATAAGCTGTAGGTTTGAGCCAAATGTCTTCCCTTAGCCAGGCGTGCATTGCCTTCTAAGGTGTGGGAGAGCATAAAGACGTTGTTAGCTACTTAGTAGCTTCTAACAAGGGTTCACATGCTGATAAACAAGATTTGCTACCTCACTAATATTTGAGAAGATGACTGGATTTATCAGCTCCGACTTATAAAAAAAATGAATCATGAATGGCTCAGGAGGAGACGGTTGGACCATCCTGTTCACTCAGGATCAGAACCTTACTGTAATTACTTCAGTTAGCCCGCCTCCAGATACATCAGCTGACCAATCAGCAGGCTGAGTATTTTCACCTGTTTGCATCGACACATTGTGATGATTTGAAGCTTTACTTCTGAGAAAAAGGAACCAAACCACACGGCACAGCTTCAAATTAATTAAATGAACAGGTTTGGACCAGAGGAACCAAACTACAGGTGTGAAAATGCTTTTGAACTTTAAGGAGTCTCTAATGAGGGTATTTGTTTTTGTGATGTGACTGGCTTTTTGAGTTACCTTGGATGTCATCGTTGAATGTGCAGTACTTGTTGCGGTACTTGCTCAGCAGACGGAACGCATTAATATTTGCAAAGTCCTCAAACTGGATCAGGCAGTCCATCCCATACCTGAAAACAGGAGAGATGCATTTAACACAACATAAACTCTGACTGTTCCTGTGTAAAACTACAATCAGTGTGAGGAAAGGAAACATGGGATTTTAAGCACAAAGGACTTCAGCAATGAAAGGAACAAACTTTGTTCGTTAACAAATGGACACCTGCTCCTCAAACTTTTAAATAGCACATTTGTGACAGTTTTAGAGGAGGAGGGGTATCTAGTAAAACACACAATCACACACACACTCACACAGGAAAAGATGCTGAACTTAAACAGTAAACCAGCAGTGTTTGGTAACAAAAGTTACCCCTCAGACCTTCAAACACACAGAATCAACACACCCTTGCCAGAGCCGGGGCCTGTTAGCTCCTACTAAAACTTTCCACAACAAAAATCAGCACAACGTTACGAGTCTGTAAATCAGATTTATCAGCAGCAAAAAAGGGGGTTTCCAGGTTTCCGAGTATTTCAATGGATGGAATCTGTGCTCAGGAATTTAATGGGTGTTTGCAAAGCAACAGCTGCTGCTGTTTTTGTCAATAAAACTCGAAGCTTCCAACTGTTTTCATGAAACCTAATTTAAATTAAGGCTTAGCATTCATTAAAGGAATAGAAATCTGCCACTGCCTTTCCTGTCAGAGTTTTTAACTAAGAAGAAGGAAGGATTTGTAAATATAACACATCCCAAGATAAAACTCATGAAGAGCCTCAGAAGAACAACAGAAAAGAATATTACAAAATATTATAATTACAAAATGGAAGAAAAAATTTACATGAGCCCAAAAAATACTGAATGAAGAAAAGCTAGTAAGGAGGAAGAGGATGAACAGAAGGCCACACCAAAGCTTGAACAAGTGAGTTTTCAGCTGCTTTTTAAAGGAGTCCACTGAGTCCACTGATCTCAGGCTCAGGGGAGAGAGAGATCCAGAATCTGGGGGCCACAGCAGCAAATGATCTGTCACCTTTGGTCTTTAGCCTGGTGCGCTGCACAACCAGTAGGCTTTGATCACTGGACCTCAGGGACCTGCTGGGGCTAGGGGCAGAGAAGATAACCACAGTACGATGGTGCTTGTCCATGTAAGGCCCTAAAATCCACAGCCAGGATCCTGATTATTCATTCTGCTGTGTGAAAGGAGGATGCTGGAGAAGATGACCTCCATCTTGAAAAACCCCTCCCACCCACTGCATTCCACTGTCAAGTCCGTGGATAGCTCCTTCAGTGGCAGACTGAAACATATAAAATGTAAAACAGAACGCTACCGGAGGTCATTCATCCCCTCTGCAGTAAGAGTGTATAGCTCCTCTGTTTAACTGGTACTGGCCTTATCCTGTTACACCAGTGGTACTCTCTGCTGGTCCTCGAGAGCCGGTATCCAGCATGTTTTAGCTTTAACTCTGCTTCAACACATCTGATGTCAATCAGCAGGTGATCAACAGGCTTCTGAAGAGTTCGATGAGCTGCTGCACAACCACTGAATCAGGTAGTAGAGAAACAAGGAAAACATGCTGGATACTGGCTCTCCAGGACCAGGAGTGAATACCACTGTTACACAATAACATCCATGCAATATTAAGCATGTGTGCAATACGTGCGCAATACCGGATGTGCATTAGTACACACATGTCCCTCATGCTGCATAGTTCTGGAAACACTGAATTTCTTTTTAGTTGCTGTTTTTAGTGGTTGAAGGTTATAATAATAGCTTATTGCCTTTGTATGTTTATTATTTTTCTTCTTCCTTTTCTCTAAGTGTATGTGCTGCTGTAGCAAGTGAATTTCCCCACTATGGGAATAATAAAGTCTATGGTTCTATTTGAAATGAACTCTGAAGTTCAAAGGACTGAGATGAAGGCCTTTGGAGATGTGTCACTTCTCATCCGAGGAGCTTTGTCAATTCTGATAGGAATATGGGAGAATCACGTTTAAAAACTGTAGCTGTCTGTTGTTTCTTAATGAGCTGAACCTACTTATGAATACCCCTCCTTCCTACCCATAGAGTAGTCATTAATGTCTTTAAGACCTATTGTGTTAGAATGGTTGTTTGGATTAGATGCAGGAGAGTGTGACCTAGACCAAAACTGGTTTGGATATTCATATTTCAGCTCATTAAGAAACAACAGACAACTCCAGTTTAACCACGACTATCCCACATCCCAGTCAGAAGTGACAAAGCTCCTCGTATAAGAAGCAAAACATCTTCAAGAAACCAAAGAAGTCCAGTTGCCCTCATTTGAACCCTTTGGATTACCATGACCTGAATGAATAAGAACCTTCACCAGCATTCGAACTTTGAAGTTAAATGGCAGCCACTGAACCTGGAAGAGGAGTGGAGTGACGTGGGTGTGTTTAGAGGACTTCAATTCAATTCAAAAATACTTTATTAATCCCAGAGGGAAATTGATTGCTGTAGTAGCTCAGAATAATAATAATAATAATCAAGTCATCAAAGAGTTATTGTATATTACAATGGCTGTTGGCAGGAAGGATCTCCAGTAGCGGTCAGTGTTGCAGCGAAACTGAAGAAGCCTCTGACTGAAGACACTCTTCCGTTGTCGAACAGTCTTGTGAAGAGAATGCTCAGGGTTGTCCATCATTTTCTTGATTCTCTGGAGAATCCTTCTTTGCATTATCTCCTCCAGTGGTTCCACAGTCGTCCCCAGAACAGAACCAGCCTTTTTTATCAGGCTGTTGAGCCTTTTCAGGTCCCTGCTTCCGATGCTGCTACCCCAACAGACGATGGCTGAAGAGATTACACTCTCAACAACAGACTTGTAGAAGACCTGCAGCATCTTGCTACAGACATTGAAGGACCTAAGTGTCCTCCAGAAGGACTTGTTCAGAAGCCAAGTCTTCCTGTCAGAAGATTTGGTGTGAGAAGAAAGCTGACCAACAAGCTTAGAGTCACAGATGTTTTGGTCAAATGTTGAATATAACATTATGCTCTCAGAGTAAATTTAGAAAATAACTGAGCTGTTGCCACATCAAATTTCAGCTCACTATCAGCTGAATTAACTAAACCATAGCTATTTGGTGTTTTTAAGGTCAGATTGTAGCTACTATCTTGAAAGGGGTGGTCCCTGGTCCTCGTAAAGACCACTTGAATGCTATTGTTTACATCTGGGTAACTGCACACTGTCACGCAACACTGGAGGGCAACGTCTCCAGACATGATCTAGAGCTGGATCTCTGCAATTTAAGCTAACAAAATAAAACTTAGATATTACTACTTTAGATCACGATTGGGTGGTTTACCCACCAGAACTCTCTTCATGGCTGTTGCCTTAGGCATATTTCATCAGCTGGAAACCCGTAAATACTTAGGTTACTGTCTTTTTGTACAGCCTACAGTGATGTGTGTTTTAGCCATGCTAATAGATTTTATTTTGCCACCATTCATCAGAGTTTATTGACAACTGAAAGATAATAATAATGGTCAACGGGGAGGACCGCCTTCTTGCCCTCCGGCCTGAAGCTGGGGGGTGTGGACATTTACGTCACGTGTCAAGGGGCCTATATGTAGATAATGAAGCTCCTGAGTTAATAAAATGCTTTCCAGAAAATGAATATAGAAGTAGAACTTTATTGGAGGGTGTGCTCCTCTGAATGATGTTACAGTCAGCCAAAATATTCATTATAACCTATGATATGTGTTTTTTTAACCAGAGACAATGGGAGGACACACTAAGGTCATCTGTAATAAAAACAACAGAGCTCTTGTTTCAGAGTGTGAGCGATGGAGGAAATTAGGGACAGGTTTAACAAACAGAGCAAACGGCTCCCAGTCGGACCCCTCTCAGCTCCCTGGGTAAGGGGAGCAGTCAGGAACTTTGTTTTTAAATCCCTCCTCATCGCTTCAGCTTAAACAGTCAGAAATCCCGGTTTTCTCCTCACCAGAACTGCTTTTCAGCTTAAGAGATTTTCTCTGTCCTCTCAGTGCTTTTAAAGAACCCCACCCATCCCTCAGAGGAGACAGATCCCTATTTGAACTTTCATCATACAGCACCAGAAAGCTGCTTCCTACTTGTTGGAACGGCGGCTGAAAAGCTCAGAATTTCAACGAGGAGGAGGATAAAGCTGAGCGGAAGTGAGATAAATAAAAGTAATGAAACTTGTTTTATGGTTTAAAGTGATTTATGTGGTGATGAGAGAGTACCAGAGTTAGGCCAGAGTGCATCCTTCCCACAACAAGACACACGGATGCCCTGACACAGATGCTAACAGTGCAGATGAGCTGCTGGCAGCACTGCTACTGAAGACAGAAATGGGTTTCCCTTCAGGGAGCGAAGCAGCAGAAATAACGAGGCTAAAAAAGGGAGCCGTAAACATTTCATTGTGTTTTGAGCATGAGAGAATTGATGGGACCACACCCATTACCAGTAAGGAGCTCTTTAGATATCTTCAAAGGGGTCACACCAGTTTATGTAGACTGAGATTTTAGAATAAATCAAAATCAGTTATTAAAACTTCTCTTCAATTGTTTTATATTCTGATGAGAGAATTTCTGTCTTCTGCCTTTAACCTTTTTATTTATGTAGGTAGAAAATTTCTTTCCTAATCAGTCCCAAACAATATTTCAGATAGATGTTTGACATGAATCTGATAACAAGTGTTTTGTGAATTTAGCACATTAACGACTCTCCACCGACTATAAACTGGATTTGTGGTTGAACAAAGGAACATTTACACTTTGGAGAAAGCTCACTGGTCTGATCTGTGCACCAGTAAAGATAGGAGCCGTAATATAAAACTGTGTGTGTGGTTTGCTCAACATAAATCTTCTGCTCTGTTTGGAGCCATTGCTGTTTGGGGTCCTTGTCCATTGTGTTCTTTTGCCATTTTTACTCAGACTGTAAATCACCTAAATCTGATGTTACATCGCTGTGTCAGCTAAATAACAGGTAAAATTAAAAAAAGGGGGGGGGGGGGGGGGGGCTTTGTGTTGCCTTTGGGTTGTAACCTCAGCTGGAACTGGAAACACCCACAACCAACTGCAAATGTTTGAACTGT